AGTAGCAGTAGCAGTAGTAGGAGTAGCAGTGGTAGCAGCAGTAGTGCAGTACTGTAGTAGGAGCAGTGGCAGCAGCAGCAGCAGCAGCAGCGGCAGCAGCAGCAGCAGTACCAGTACCAGTGCGAGTACTAGTGGCAGTACGGCAGCAGCCGGTGTCGTCGCGCAGTGGACACGGGCAGTGGCAGTGGCATTGGTGCTCACAGGGTAGTGGCAGTGCCAGATGTCGTCGTCGGCCGCGGTGCTGTCGTCACGAAAGATGAAGGAATGCAAAGCTTCTTGCTGACAGGGAAACGGCTTTCTCCTGCTCTTCGAGCACCGCCGTGGCTGAGGTCACAGCCTCCTTCGCCTGCGCAGCTCATGACAAGGGTTCTCCCAATTCTGTGCCCAGTACCCCTCGGCCTGCTGCGTGGCGATGCTTGCATTCACGAGGGTCTGCTCAGCTTCGGAGATGCGGCCAGCTGCAGCAGCTGCCTGCACCCAGAAGAGGTCTTCAGACCGTCGGAGTCCCCATTTAAGCAACGAAGCCTCCTCTCCAAGTCGATCGCTCTCCTTGTCGGCGAGGGTTTTGCTGTCCGACAAAATTCGCTGGCACTGCTTCAGTACTTCCTGCACGGGGCGTTCTTCTGCTAACTTGCAACGTAGAAGTGAGAGGCACACAGGGGCCTGCTGATACGGATGGCCTCCCTCGGCATGAGGAAGAGCTGACACCAGCATGGTTCGGACACTTTCAGTAGCAGCATCGTTTCCTCAGTGCGCTCACAGCTCTCTCTTCGATTGCGGAGGTGAGTCTGCCAAGGAATCTGCCAAAGACATCCTCGTCCAGGAGCACCTGCAGGGTTCTTCTTTAGGGAACAACCCCTAAACCCTAAACCCTAAACCCTAAAAGTTACCAGGGATGCATAGGATTTAAGTAAATCTTAGCATAGTAGGGGCATATAGTCTACGGACTTTAGGAGGGATATAACCCTTATATAGCCAGGTAGTCTCCATATTAACCCCAATAACCTACAAGGTTCCCTATTAAGGGTCCCTCCTAAAGCCCTTAGATATAGGATACAAGATGCTGAAGAAGCCAGCCTTGCCGACCATCTGGGCATCTGCAGCGGCCTTACTGCGGAAGAGGCACAACTCCGGAACTGCTGGATTTGGGGTTTCGGGCTTAGTGCTTTAGGGTTTAGGGGTTTAGGGTTTAGGGTTTGGGGTTTAGGGTTTAGGGTTTAGGGCTTAGTTTAGGGTTTAGGGTTTCGGGCTTAGTGCTTTCTTTCACATCGCAGCAGATGAGTGCATCACGCGGAAACAAGCTGGCGTAAGGGCGGCACCATGTCGGAGGAGGGCTTTCCACAGCTTTGCGAGGCAACTTGCAAACTCGGACACCCTAGCCCGCGGCAGCGAAGTGAGCAGCTGAATCGTTGAACATTCGCGCCCTGCTAAACTTCGGGAATCATGGGAAGAGCAAAGGAACCAATAGAAATAGTGGGAACAAACGCAACAAAAAGAACAAGACATGTAGCTGAAGCAGCGTGACCTCAGTAAGGTACTTCTGCCTTCTAGACTCGGGAACGCACCTCGGATGACGCAGCTAAGGGTTTCTCCTCACCTGTGAGGTTGAACCCAAGTGTCAGAAACTCCGCAATGACAAAACCCTACAGCGAACCCCAGAAAGACCTAACATGGGTTTAGGATGATTATCCCTTATGCCTTACCTGAAGGGCCATGAGGATTACAATGTTCCAACTGTAAGGCTACTGCTGTAAACCTAAGTTTAAGAGACCCCTGCATCCGCTTGGGCTGAGACCAGCAGGATTCTCGGCACTGCCTTTTGGGGGAACTGGCTGGAGGAGGCTGCCTGGGTTCTTTGGGGTGCCTGGGGTTGTGGGTTTCTTTCGGGTTTGAGAAGCGCTTCCTAGGAATGTGATCTCATAAGGATATACGGTTTTGATTTCTACGATGTGCAGGGTTTTACAGAGTTCGAGGAGGATTCTATGGGCCTGTAGACCCTAAACCCAAACTCCAAAAACCGTAAGCCCTAGGCCCTAAATATAAAAGAGCTATACTGAATGCTAACTGATTATGGAGGGCGCAGGTTTACGATGGGTGTAAGGTTTGGGCTTTGGTCTAGGATTTACGGTTTAAGGTTAGGTTACATATAGTGCTCTAAATTCAGGGCCGCTTTCTAGCCTCATAACAAAGACCCTAATATAGCGTTAACCCAAACCCTAAACCCCTTAACCCCTCAATCGTTGATTCAGTGTCCCAGCCCTAAACCCTAAACCCTAAACCCTAAACCCCAAACCCTAACCCCTAAACTCAACCCTTAACTCCCATCCGAGGCCGTTCATAAATCCGGAAGGGTGGAACTGAGATCCTGAACAGCACCAGCCAGGGGAAATTGACAAGTGCTCGGGGTTTAGGGTTTAGGGTTTAGGGTCTAGGGTTCATTGTTACTGTAGTCTTGGATAACGGAGTGTTTTGGGTTTAGTGCTTCTCGTGATGTCCGGCACTGCATTCAAGAGCATTACAAGTCGTACTACTTGTGCATCGACCTTTGACTGTCACCGGCAGGCAACACTGCCAGTCAGACAGACTCATGACAAAAGCACCAACTTCTCACGCCTCCGCCTTGCTCGGTAATTCCTGCCGAGACAGTCACTATGTGGATTTCCACATATTTCTATTAGGACTGTTGTTGCTAGTGCAGCAGCCTTACATTGCCAGTCTTGGTGTAACATTACAGGTACCATGCTGTTCTTGTTGAGCACATCTTCACGTTCGTCGTCCAATCGTTTCGTAACATCTCTGTGTAGCCGGACTGGCACGCAATGCATGGACAGCCCTCAGACAGCTCGTCCGAAGCTTGTGTTACCACCGCTGTGTTTGCCATCGTGCGTACCAAGCTTGCACACACCCAGAGGATATCAAATGCAACGGCCAGCCGAAGAAATGCTACGTCTTGCACCAGAAATACAAGGATATGTGCGAGCTGTAGTCGCACAGAAGACCACGACTACAAGCAATGGGCATCAGCGGTATGAGCGTCACACACATCATCAACATCGTCATTTATCATCATATCATATCATCACCGGTATCACAGAAACCCTCCGCTACAGCATGTCCACATCCACAGCTCCACCATGGAGGTGGTCGTGGTCATTGCTGACACTGCCGACACCAGCATGATCTCAACTGTCAGCACCATCGTCATACAGGACAGGCCCCCAGAACCAGGAGTCAATCGTCATCGTTCTGGTCAGAAACATCACCATCTTCGCCAATTCCATTAGAGTGTCAGAATCACAAAAACCACAACTCACAACGAACATCGCTGGCGATCACATGCAAGAGCCTGGTCACCAACAACGTATCCAACCACATCCTGAGCATCATGTTCGTCATCGTCATCAACATCATAAAAAGTATGGCCAGTGTCATACGGAGCCATGTCGAGAATATCAACCTTCTGCATCATCAACACCGCTCAACAGCATTCAGCGCTCGTCTGGTCCTGCAAGTGCCGACGCCACCGGCAGGCTAGCCTGTGGTGGTGCCAAAACCTGCCGGAGCCAGGGTAGTGGTGGTGGTAGTAGCAGTCGACGTCGCGGTTGTTGTTGTTGTTGCTGTTGCTGCTGTCCTCCTCCTCCTCCTCTTCCTCCTCCTCCTCCTCCTCCTCCTCGTCCTCGTCCTCGTGGTTGTGGTTGTGGTTGTGGTTGTGGTTGCGGTTGCGGTTGTGCTTGTGCTTGTGCTTGTGCTTGTGCTTGTGCTTGTGCTTGTGCTTGTGCTTGTGCTTGTGCTTGTGCTTGTGCTTGTGCTTGTGCTTGTGCTTGTGCGTGTGCGTGTGCGTGTGCGTGTGCTTGTGCTTGTGCTTGTGCTTGTGCTGGTTGTTGTTGTTGTTGTTGTTGTTGCTGTTGATGTTGCTGCTCTTGTTGTTGTTGCTGCTGTTGATGTTGTTGTTGTTGCTGTTGTTGCGGTTATGGTTGTCGTTGTCGTCGTCGTTGTGGTCGTGGTTGTGGTTGCGGTTGTGGTTGTCGTTGTCGCTGTCGCTGTCGCCGTCGTTGTCGTTGTCGTTGTCGTTGTCGTTGTCGTTGTCGGTGTCGGTGTCGGTGGTGGAGGCGGCGGCGGCCGCGGTGGTTGTTGCAGTTGTTCTTGCAACAGTAGCAGTTCACTGGTAGAAGAAGTATGAGTAGCAGAAGCAGGAAGAGGAGCAGCCGGAGCAAGGAGCAGCAGCTCAGGGACACTGAGCAGTACCTGACATTTCCAACTGATCCTTCTGCTCTTGCCAATGAATGCTGCCAGTCCTGCGGACAGTTGCGCAGTGTACCTACCCATGGGACGATGCTATCACTGGTCGTGTTGAATTTGAAGCTGCTGTTCGTAGTGCACTTCCGTGAACACCGCTGTTGAAGCTGTTGCAGCTCTTAGTGGAACTGTATCATCGGTCCTTCTGTTGCGGACATGTGCAGCGCCTGGTTGCTGGCCGTGAGCAAGTGCTTCAGATCCACGGCAAACTGCGCGACGAAGTGGGCGATCTTCGCCGTTTCTGCAAGTTCCGGCACCTGGCATCGGGGGGTTTACTTGTTATTCGGGCCTGGGTTGTATGCAACTGTCACATACAAGGAGAAGCGGCAAAGCCTCGTCTGAAGCAGAATCGCCTGCACATGTGAAGATGGCAGCCAACTCGAGCGAATGAACGAGGCCCAACGCCGTACTCAACCCTTGCCAATCACCAAGACATGCACGCATATACACACTCTGTTCCAGGTCGACTCTAATTACTCCACTTGTCCACGGCAGCTCGGAGACTCACATGGGCACGGTCGCATCTGCAGCAGACTTTTTGTCATTGAGCCCCCCGGGTCTGTAGCACTGCCGACTGACAACGAATTCACCTGGGTGATTGTCAAAATTATGGTCCCTTTTTGGGTCCTTATTATAATACGGCACCTATTATTTAGGGTACCCCAAAAAGGACCATAATTTTGACAACTACCCACCTGAAGCCCAACAGACCTGCCCTGCACGCTGCGGCCCTCAACCGACCCCAGAAGGCTGTAGAGACCTGCAGCCATCTGCCAGGCAGCTGCATGGCATGGCCAAGATTGCTGAAACTCAGTTTTGGGGGTTTAGGGGTTTAGGGTTTAGGGGTTTAGGGTTCAGGGTTTAGGGGTTTAGGGTTTAGGGTTTAGGGGTCCTAATGCTGGCACTTCTGGCCAAAGCGGCCCTGACATCACAAGTCGGCGATCAGATCTGTCACGTGGACAACATTGCTAGGACTGCCACAGCCACTGTGGTCTCTCCTGTGCTCCGCCTGGGCACCAAGGCTGGCATCTGAAATATGCAAAGATCCACATACATACTCTGTACTATACAGTACTACATACAGTACCATATGTTATGTAACTATATACGATGCTATACCACACCATATACTGTATACTCTACCACATACTGTACTATACGATGCCATATACTCTATACTATAACATATACTGGGCACTATTGCAGAATTTCGGGCCCTGAATAATTAGAATAGGGTTTTGGGGTACATCATGCTATGTCTATCATAAGCAATCTCCCAAAATAGTATTGGTACTTGTTTAGGCCCCTATTATATGGGTAGTTCTCTAGATTAGGGTCCCTTTTAGGTCCCCAATATAGTACGGCACCCTTATGCAAAGGGCCCTAAAAAGGACCCCAATTTAGAGAACTACCCATATTCTATCTCCACGAGCTGTGTCCAAGGTGCCCCCTTTGGACTGCAACGGGTCCTGGGAGCCCCCCTTCGAGTCAGGACGTGCTTGAGCCTGCAGCCGTTCCATTGGGGCTTAGGGTTCAGGGATTACGGGTTTAGGGTTCAGGGTTTAGGGTTTAGGGTTTAGGGTTTACGGGTTTAGGGTTTACGGGTTTAAGGTTTAGGGTTTACGGGTTTAGGGGTTTCATTGGCGCAGCTTGGTGTGAAGGTAACGGAGTAGTCAGGCCTCCAAGGCGTCGGGGAGTGAGGGAGAGATGGCTGCTGTCTTCCAAAGCACCTTCAGGGAAGAAGACAGCCTCTGAATGAGGCCTCTCTCTCTGTCTCTGGCCCGTCTCTCTCTATAACCTGGCATACGAGGCCAGGCTCGCGCTTTAAGTCTTCTCTCAAGGCGGCGTTCGATGCTCGGCCTGGCCTTCTGGATTCCTTCCTTGCCGCACATTTCCGGGGAACCTGCCCTGCCAAGTGATCCGCTGCTTCCTTCCGTGGCCCGTGGCTTCACTCTGCGGCCACGGCTTTGCCGTGGACTTGGTGTCCTTCCGTCCCACAACGCTAGACGGGAGCGAGTCGGGGTGGCTGGGGCCGGCGTGGCTGGGGCTTCGGATGCCGGCTCTTCCTCCGCCGGCTGGGCCGCCGGATCTGCCAGCTCTGCCGGCCCGACTGCTGCCTGGATGGGCGCAGGCGAGGCATCGCGGAAGAGCGCATCGATGTCATCTGGGAAGAGTGGTGGCCTCTTCTGTGCTTGTGGAGGGGCCCCTCCACGAAAGCAGGCATCGATGTCGTCCGGAAAACGGAACTTCACTTCCGAGCTGGGCCGCGTGTTCTGCGAGGCCTCGGACGCTGAGGCCGGCAAACGCCATCGATACCGACCCATGGAGGAAATGGCTAAACAGCTCGATCTACGGGCGGGCTCCTTGAAGCGAGAGCATCGAGAGCAACGGAAGTCAAGATGCATCGAGCGTTCACCGCATCCACGCACTCAGAAGCGGCTCACTGGAGCAGGCGCCTTGCTTTCCGTTCGGGGGCCGGATCACCTGGCAACGTCGTGGCGAAGCTTTTGGCTACAAAGGCTCTGAACCCTAAACTCCACCCAGAATCTAAACCCTCAACCCCCCAAACCCTAAAATCTAACTTAACCCCAAACCCCCTAAACCCATAAACCCAAAGCCCTGACCCAACCTTGCAGCTGGCGCCGCCATAGCCTCAGCAGAATCACGCGAATTTGTCCTTCTTGAATCTGCATGTGTATATATATATATATATATATATATATAGGTGTATATGTATGTGTGTATATATATATATATGCACGCACACGCTCGTATACGTGTATACATGCGTTGTGTGCATATGTATACACTATATCTCTATGTGTGTGTGTATATATCTATATGCATATGCATAAATATACCTATATACGTATACACACCTACATACACACCTACATACATACATACATACATACCATACCATACCATACCATACCATACCATACCATACCATACCATACCATACCATACCATACCATACCATACATTGCATCACATCACATTACATCACAGTACATTACATTACACCACATTACATTACATTACACAACATAACATACATACTTACATACCTACCTACCTACCTACCTACCTACCTACCTACCTACCTACCTACCTACATACATACATACATACATACATATACACAGGTACATACGTACATACCTACATACATACGTACATACCTACATACATGCATACATACATACATGCATGCATACATACATACATACATACGTACACATACAAATACATTACACATACACATACACGTACACATACACGAGTGTATATTGCACATAACTCTGTAATACTTGCTGTTTGTTTATATGGACGAACGAGCGAACGAGCGAGCGAACAAAGAACGAACGAACGAACGAATGCATGTATGAATGTATGAATGTATGA